TAATCTATGTATTTGGGATGATGAAAATCAATAGGGAACTTTATGTTCCATTTTTGTCTCATTTTATGTTAACGTTCCATTTTGTATTTAGCAAACTTGCACATTGATTCTCATTTTGTATTCATAGAGACATGAATTTAGCATCATAATAGGGGATTAACCCTTTTCATTACAACTTGTAATACAATACATAAGAACTATATCAATTTAGTCAACCCCTCTTGTAACAAAACAAGAAGATTACCCATGACAGTAACAACATTGCCATTGCCAATTTAAAGCTCTATCTATGGTTCCTAAGTTTAATTTCATTCTTCCTATATCTTCCCTTAAGCTTCTTCAACTCTATTGAAATGGCACTAATCTCTTCATCAAATCTTTGACTGTCTAATCCTCTTATTAGCAAGGCATTCTCATCATACAACTTATCCATATCATCAAGTAACTCTTTATGACAACTTTCTCCCTCTCACCAAAATCACTATCGTGCTAAGTGAAGAAGCTGTACCCACCCCCGATGATGTCCAACATCGACATTAGGTAGCAATTGAAGAAATTAAGAAATAAATAATTTCAAATCACATTACCTGGTGATACCTTAGACACTCGTGAAATCTTCTCCCTGGGTTAGCATCCGTCCATGTTGTTCATCTCAGAGCAACTAAGTAACAGTGGCAACGCCTAGCCAGAATTTCATCTTCTTCATTGTGCCAAGCTCGTCTGATCTGTGTCACCCTCCTTCTGCTAATTCTGGTGGTTGACAGAAAAGATCATGCCATGTATCGAGTTAGAAGCAAAGAGTGAAGATGATGAAAGATTGACCAGAGCCCTCCTTCAATGATAAAATAAACACAGAGCGCTTGTGTGTAATCCTAAAACACAAGAATAAACATAGATTTTTATTTTATCATTCTATGTTTATTTTTAAAAATTGTGTGTTGATCATTGTAGTTGACTCATCATTTTCAAACCTACAACAATAAGCCACATCAATGTTAGACTAGTCAGATGACAGGTGGCAGGCCAGATAAGCAATTAACGCACGAAATAAATAGAGTTAAGAGGCAAGAGATAGATTGGTTACTTATGCACCTACAAATGTGACGTTATGAGTATTTTTGCCCTTTTTGTTACTTAAGGATAGTGGGTGTTCCTGGTTGTTCACTTTATGGGTATTTTTGTCCTTTTATCCTTTTAAAAATTCAGAGGACTCTACCTAGTGAGATTAGCATTGTGCCCCCACGCAAACTTTCATTTACACCCACTGGACGAAGTTAAAAAGGAAACACAGATGAGCATCATGTTCCCACACAACCTAGTTTTTTATAAGTATTTTTTATCTCATCCATGTGCCATTCTTTTGGGGGTTTTGACCAATTCCATATGTTTGTTGAAGATTTTCAAAATGGAGACACGTTGTTTAATTTTTTAGATTATTTACTTTGTTCAAATTTTTATTTAATATTTTATAAAAAATATTTACTTTTTATGTTTTTTAGTTAATAATTTGTTTTCTTACATGCATATATGATTTTTATGATTACATACTTTTTTTGGACAAAATTTATGATAATAAGTATGGTTTTTTTTTTTTTGGTCTTCGGCCTGGACCAGCTAGCAGGGATGCACTTGCTTTTTTTTTTTCTTTTTTTTTAATCTTAGCCAATAACACCCATTTTGGTGATAATGATGTCCTCCTCCAAGAAAATGTCTTGGATATGTGTGTTGAGAAATATACTTTTGATTTATTTTTTGCTTAGTTCCTCCAAACTTTCAAGCTTAGGGTTGTCGATTGTAGCTCCAAAAAAAAAAAAAGGGAGGGGTCATATTGATTTCTTTCTACTGCTGTTCCTTTGCATTATTTTTTTTATTTTAAAAATAGTGGTAGTAATGATGGTACTACTGACTGTATAAGAATTTACAATAATTATATTGTAAAATTTTTGTAACCTTTAAAGAAAGAAGGATTAAAAAGAAAAAAAAATATAAAATACTCTCTCTAATTTTATTTATGAGTCACATTTTAAAAAATTTATTTGGTTATATTTATAAATCACAGTATGATTTTTTAAGTAATATTTAAAAAATATTTTTAAAATTATCTTTTATAAGAGAGAGAAAACAACATGACGTCACTTTTTTAATTTGTTATATAAGGACATATTTAAAATTTCATACGCTTTTATTTTTTATACTTTTTTTGCATTAATATTGATATGTTGGTAGAAATCACTTATAAAAAAGATCAGAGAAGTAGTGAAGATGATTGAAAAAAATCATACTAAAAGATTGCTGAAAACCCTTGATTACCAAAAAGAATAAAAATATTATGAAATCATTTTAAATTATGTTGTGTGACACTTGACAAAAACATTGAATGAGAAAAGATAAAAATAGCCCTTTTAAATGTCATTTAACAGAAATATTGACATAACAAAAATGTGCATATGGAAAAAAATAAATAATGATAACAGTTTAACAAGTATAATAGTAAAAAATAACAATATGAAAAAGCAAAAAAATGAAAAGTAATCATGATATTTTAATAAGAGTGCAGGGAGTAACAAGTGTCAAGTGTGACATTTTAACAATCATGTATGATGGATGAAATGACAAATAAAGTTATTATTTTTGAAGTATGTATATGGAAAATTACAAGTAAGCATGACATTTTAACAAACATGAATGTGAAAAATAAAAGGCGTAATTAATGTTCTGATGAGTCTGGTGATAGAAAATCACAAGTGAGAACATTATTTTGATAGAGATACGTATAAAAAAATGACAAGCAACAATAACAATTTAACGAGTAGAAGTGTGTAAAATAACAATAATGAAAGTAAAAAAAAATGACAAGCATGATTATTTTGTCTTTTCTCATTCAATTTTTTTGTTAGATGTTATGTTAGGAATGTCAGAGTAATTTCAGAATTTTTTTAATCCCTTTTCATAATTAAAGTCTTCAGCGGCGGGCTTTCAATTTGATTTTTCCAATATGATTTCCTCCTTTCTCTCCTTAATTTCTTTTTTTTCTATCTTCTCTTCAAAACCTAATTAGTGTATTTAGAGAGAATTAATTAAAAAGAGATGAAACGGTAGCTAGTTAATGAAATATAAATTTTGTACACGATGTACTTCTTTTGTCTAATTTTCTTTTGGTTGGGTGACGGCAAATTTTTTAGAATACGGAAGTAAATGGTACCTCTCCCAACAAATCACATGCACGTCTAATTTCATTTACGTACTGCCTTTTGGATATCATAATTTTTGTTATATAAATAATAAAAGTTTGGTTTATACTAAAAACCAGACCTAAAATAATATTTTTTAGAATTCAATTGTGATACTATTTATTTTGCAAAATAATATCTTTGCCTTAATTTTTTTTCTCTTGAATTTTGAAAAGTATAATTAATTATGTATTCTAAATTTATAAAAAAGCAATTTAAAAAAAAAACAAGTTTCATGCTATTCATTACTTATCAGAGTTTGAATATTCATAATCATTATATCACATAAATAATAAATAATTTATATTAAATTCAAAATACATTTTTTTCAGTGAGTCAAAATACATATAACCATAGTATAGATCATACTTTGTCTCACAAGAGTAATCCATCATTCTAATGGTTGCTTGAGTCACGTCTCTGTACATGTCCCAACGTGATTAGAAGGATCGCCTTTTATATTCAAATACTTGAAAAAGATTAGACTCCATTGTTAATAGAATATATTTTTTATATCTCACAACAAAAATTATATATAGTGTTATATTTTTGAAGTAAAAAAATGTGCATCTTAAATATAAAAGAATAATACAATTTATACTAATTTTTTAGTGGAAAAAGTATTGCAATAATTATTTTACTCATCCAAAAGTTTTTAAAGAATGGATAAGTTATTAAAGGAAAATCTCATATGAGGATCCCTGAGATAATTTATATTTAAGGAGGACCATAAAATTTTGAAATTGCATTGCGTAAATAATAAACCATTCAAGTTTTGACAATATTTCATTTGTAATTAAAAATAACATATTCAAACTTTAACAAGATGAAAAAATGAGTACAAGTTTAATGAAACAAGTATTCACCTTATATAAATAATAAGTCATTCAAATTTTGATAATAAATTCATTTGTGTTAAACAATAACATATTCAGACATCAACAAAATAGAAAAAAACTAATGAGATGTGTTTAATTGTATAAGTATTAGTATTTATTTAACAAGTATTTATTCAAAATTTGACAATAACTCATTCAAAGTTAACTATATATTTGGACTTTAACATGCAATTTTTTTATTTTTTAAAATTTTAGGATAATGCCATTTTTTCTTAAAAACTTAATTTCAGATGGGTACTAAGAGACTATAGTTCAATTTTAGAATATTATAGTCCTTCTTTTATATTACTCCCTCCAATTTTTTTGCAGGAGACAAAAATTATATCACACAATTTAAAAAAATAGATTAACTATATTAATTGTGTCTGAAAATAAAAGAATTAGACTACAATACCCTTTATTAATTATGTTAATTAAGCATTTATTAATTTTTTTATAATTGTAAATGATGAAATTATTAGGAATAATATAAAAAATTTATAATAAATATTATTAAAAATGTGATTTTACTTATATAAAAAAATAAAAAGAAAATATAACTTTAGATCCCTCTACTTTATTTATATTTTGATATTAGTTCCTATATTTTTTTTAAATGTTTTTGGTCATTGTTAGGGACCTAAAATAATAAAAATATAAAAATATAAATATCAAAAAAATTAAAAAAATATAAAAATTAATAAAAAATACGAACAAAATATAAAGACCTAAATTTATGGTAAAGGTAAACTAACAGTGATTCCGCAAATAAAAAACGGAGGGAGTAATTACCTCCAGAGATTTTCCAATTACCGAACTGGAAAATGGAAGGCATGGACTCACATGCGGCGCACGTGAGCACCTTCTAAACCCTAACCCCCCCCCTTCTCATCTTCGCGCACACTCTGACGAAATAACCTTAACTCCGTGATGGCTTCCCGCCGGCTCCTATCATCGTTCCGATCATCCCTTGGCCGATATTCATTGGTGTCTCAAGTTACGACCTCGAATGCTCGATTATCTTCCTCAGATGTTTATTCTGGCAATTCCTTTTCCAATGTAAGTTTCCATTTCATTCTGAAAGAATGTTCTGCGATTCATTGCGATCTGATGGTGCTACTGCTATGTAAAATGCCGAGAAAGCCGCGATATTGTCATTTTTATACTGCTTTAGAATGATATTTTACTTAATAATTAAATATTTTAGTGTCTCGGATATGCATGGTTAGACTTGTTGCTTTGCTCTTTCTTCTTTGATGCAATCGGGAAATGCTATTGACAGGGGCGGGTTCAGGATTTAAGTTTGAGGGGCGCACCCAGATTAAAGAGCATTTAGCACCAATTTTTCATAAATCTTGGGGTGATGGACATCTATAACACCTATGTAATGCTAAGGGGAAAAAAAAAATTGCTGCATGGCCCTGCCAGTCCCCTCCTCCCTCCACCCCCTGGCTATTGATATCCGTAGCTTATGGCCATTATATGCTTCTTACGCATCCAGTTCAGGCGAATATTGCTCCCTTCATTCATCGAAAACTGTTCCTGTTATACCTTCTTTAAACTCTTTTTAATCAGTGCTGCCACCAGTCTCCGGCAATTCCTTTGTTTTTCACGCCTTGTTGGTGGGTTCTGTTTAACTGGTGAAAATGATTATCACTCTCATTAAGTATAGGGAGGACATAACTGCAACAATGAAGGCATGTAGGGATGCTATTTCTTCTGAGCTTACCGAAGGGATATATCTGGCTGTGTATGATAAGAATAATCTGATATACTGATAAACATAAACATGAGAAGCTCTGTTTTTGAATGGAGCCATGAACAGTTGTTTGATAGTTACATTTTAATGTTCTGGATTATATGAACTGTGAATTGGTCTTGAAGCTGATATATAGTTCTTTAGCTTTACTTGGTAATGTTCTGGGTTATGTGAATTGTGAGTGGGTATTAAGGCTGATATGTAGATTAGCTTTACTTAACTGTTTTGTCCAAGAAGTTTTACTTAGACTGAGTATTTTTATATATGAAAGGACATGGCTGAAATGTTTCCATTGGATGCACCCAAGGGCTATAAAGATAATAGTAGCACATTGAACTGCTCTTGAAGAGCAGCAGATAATCTGGTCCTGAACTACAGTGTTATTCTTAATTGACTGGTTTGACATCAAGATTATGTTACGTCTTCCTTTTTTTGTGCTTGGTGTGAGGCTTTATTTATTTATTTATTTATTTTTTAAAGCGAACCCCAATTTTTTGATGTTCAAAGCAATTGTGCCTCTTCTACACTAATTAGTTGTGCATGGCCTTTGCTTACTTTATAGTTTTTCTTTGTTTGCTTTTGGTTTGAAGGTTTATCGTCATCCAGCAATGCACACCTGTTTCTATTTCTGATGAAGTTTCTTTTTAACATTACATATACAAGCTTTGTTGTTTTGTTCATGTTACATATTCTTGATTGAGTGACTAAATTAAATGTGACATAAGAAATTTGAGACCTTTTGAGTGCAATATTAGTAATATTAATGGTCAGGTATTTTGAAATAGTGGGCTTTGGATTTTAGACCCTGATCAATGGATATCTTCTGCCTTCCAATCCTCAGCTGACTAAGATTATTTCCCCAGACTGCTGCACTCTCAAGACTTGAATCCAAAAATGGCTTAGCGTCAATACTTGGAGATTCTAGATTGAGTTTGTCTCACCAAGCTGCTGCACTTGCACCCTGTTTCCCTTCCAGATTTATGTCAACCCAGATAAACTCTGTTGACTCTTCTGAAGATAGTTCCACTCCTGTCTCTGAAGTGCCTCCTCGCATTAAATTTAAGAGATTAGATAAAACTGCTAAGCACATTATGCAGGCACATGACTACTCTTTCTTCCTTTTAAGTTGGTACATTTTATTTTTATCACTGTAAGAGTTGCTGATATCTTGCCGTTGTAGATTATAGATAAGGAAGCAGTAGGTGAAGTCAGAGCACTGAGAGAGATACCAGATATACAACCAGGCTACATTGTGCAACTCAAAGTGGTATGGGATTTTGTTTTGAAGATGTAAAATATTATTGCTATATCCGGGTACTGTTCAAAATATTAACTGGATATTTTCCTTATAAACTGAGACAACAGGAAGTTCCTGAGAACAAGCGCCGTATTTCAATCATAAAAGGCATTGTCATTGCAAGGCGAAATGCTGGTCTTAATACTACATTTAGAATTAGGAGGCTAGTGGCTGGAGTCGGAATTGAGTCTCTCTTCCCACTGTGAGCTCTAACTTCTCAGTTTTTGATGGATTTGCCTGCAGATGAGCTATGTTGTACTGGTAAAGTCGCATTTGGTTTTGATTAAGCTTTGTGCAATAGGTATTCGCCGAACATAAAGGAGATAAAGGTGCTTGAGAAGAAGAGAGTGAGAAGGGCCAAACTCTACTACCTTAGGGAGAAGATGGATGCACTTAAAAGGCAATAACCAAGTTCGTCCTGGTAGAAATTTTTGATGATTCAAAATTTATTTGTACTCCGTATCTGCCTGTGGATGCAAGCGCCTGCATCTGTTTCCTTATTGACGTGATTTCACAATATATAGTTTTCATGCATATCCTCTGAGCTGGCAGATGTTTTGGGGAGGCAACATGTCAGAAATTGTATTGAGATGCATTCATATGAGAATATCTTATTTCAAAAGTTTTCTCAACGAGTGTAAAGATCTTCCCCCAAGTTGTAAGGATTATCTTTACTTTTGCTAATATTATGATAAAAATGCATCTGCTTGGGCTTGATTGTAAATGTTGATTAACTGCAAATTGTTACTAAGAACATTGAGAATGTTGGGGGTGAATAAAAAGCTCTCCGGTTTTTCATTGTTTCAAAAGCTTAGATGGTAAGTAAAACCCTATCGTTGTCACCGATAGGTTGGAGCGCACACTCGGACTCACCCGCCACGTTCTATTTTTATGTAACTCCACGTTACATATATTAAAATACTTGGCACACATTCCATCTGCATCTGATAAGAGTTCGAAGCTAGGGGCCTTCGTTTTATAAAATGCATGGTGGCGGCGTGAACAAAGGGGATGGAGCTTTTGAACTTCCCGAAGCTGGTCTTTTTAATCAAGGTTTCTTATCTGATATGGAGTGAATGAGTCGCGGTTGTGATGGAACGTGGGAATTAGTTATAGGATTCTTTATTATATTATAATATTGAAAGCATTTTAATGATTGTCGAGTTGAATTAAAAGATAGAGTATGGATGATTAAATTGTAAGCTGTCTTGTATGTGGGGATGAATTACAAGGTCAAACATTTGAATTGTTCTTCTGAAAATTTGTTTATCGCACGAACTCAGATTTTGTCCCTTGAACTTGGTTTCGTGTGTGTCTTTCATATTTGTATACTTTAAACAAATAATATAAAAAATAAAACTAAATGTTCAATTTAATTTAATTTTTTATATTTTATCACTATCTTTTATTGTGCGTATAAATTTCTGTATATAAAGTTACGATTATTGTTATTTTTTTGGATGGACCTCCGCTATTTTATCCTATTCCTCTGTCTAATTCATTCGTTATATTGAGTTAATAATTTGGACTTAAAAAAAGTTGCAATAAATACATTTCTGCGCAAACGTGGCGTGGCGGCGAACTTCCACGCTTGGTCAAAACACGGAACCGGGGGAAATTCATGCCATGCTTCAGTTTTCTTTTGGGTTAAATAATACCATTACTCTTGACTTAACTAGAATACCTGACTCCACAAGTCTGGTCTTTGAAGCTTTGTTTTTGGCCTGACTGGTCTGTGATGCTTGATAAGCAAAACAATGGAGAGTTTCAGAGTTCTGTGTCTTCATTCCTTGCTGGTATGCTTTACGAGGACTCTCGCCTTCACAAGACACTATCACACCAAGAAACTTGATTAGAGATGGCGAGACTTTAGTTTCTGCAAGTGGGTTTTTCGAACTCGGATTCTTCGGCCCTGGGTCTCCAAATGCCCGATACTTAGGAATATGGTACAAGAAATCTCCTTCTACAGTCTTCTGGGTTGCCAACCGAGACACACCTCTCAACAACAATAGGGGAAAGGGTGTTTTACAATTAAATGACGAAGGAGTTCTTCTCCTTCTCGATGCCACAAACAATACGGTGTGGTTTTCGAATAATTCATCAATCAGGGCATATAACCCTTTTGCCCAACTCTTGGATTCGGGAAATCTCGTCGTGAAAAATGGACGTGGGAGCGGTAGCAATGGTAACTTGTACCGATTCTTATGGCAGAGTTTTGACCACCCTTGTGACACCTTAATGCCAGGAATGAAGCTTGGGTGGAGTCAACAAACGGGGTTGGACAGATTTCTGTCGTCATGGAAAAGCTCAGATGATCCAGGTCGGGGAGATTATGTAATCAAAATAGACCGTAAAGGGTATCCGCAATGCGTTGAACTGAAAGGTTCCGAGGTGAAGGTTAGAGTTGGGTCATGGAATGGCTTCTCCTTCACATGTTGTACGTGTGTCCAAAGTGTGTGTGTGTCAAAGTACTACATTAACTAAAGAAAGGAATTCCTAGTGTATATATATTAAGGAATGAAATAAGTTAATAAAATGGGCTTAAAGAAGAAGTGGCTTCGTGCATATGAGACAGGTCAACTCAAAATAATTGCAGTTGAAATTAGCCAATTCGCCTCCTCCTGCGCGCGAGTTCAAGAGGCATTGGGTTCTTTTTACTAGGTTATTTTATAAAAAATTATTAAATAAATAATTACTTTTAACTTACCCGAAAAACATCTGATTTTGCTGTTTTGAGTTTAAACTTGAGCAGTTTCTGAACATTAAACCTCTTCTGGAAACCGAATTTTGAAGGTTAATGTTTTGTCTGCCAAACGTCTTCAGATTAATGAACGCTGAACGTTTTTGAATTAATGGACATGCACGTTTGCTGTTTGAGGCGTCTGTAACTGAAGCGTTAAACGCTGAACGTTCGTTGTTTAATGTGTGTATAACCGAACCATTAATCGGTAATTATAACCCAACGTTTGTGTCTCCTTCCTCGGCCTACATATACCCATAGGTGAGGACAAAACAAAGGGCAAGCCTTCACAATTCTCTCCTCCCTTTGACTCCTGTTCGTCTGTGCTTGCTTTAGTTTCTATTATTCTGTTCCCTTACTCTATCTCAAGAAGTGCTTGTTTAATCTTGGGGAGCTGCCGGCCCGTCGTCTAGGTGTGCTGGAATAGTTCTTAAGGACAGTGTCTTTCCGGGCACGACTCAGGCAATCAGAAGCTCGCTGTTCACGTCGGTCGCTGGTGTCGCCTACATCACAGGGTTTCCAAATCATAATGTGGATCCCGCAATAACTTATGAGTTTGTGTTGAATGAAACAGAGGTACATTACAAATTTGAGCTGATAAATAATTCCATTTTCTCTAGATATACAGTGACCTCATCAGGGATTGGGCAGCGTTTTGATTGGGTAATTAAAACAAGCAGCTGGCAGGTAATGGCCTCTGGACCCCCTGACCAGTGCGCAAATTATGCCTTGTGTGGTTCCTATTCTATCTGCACCATCAGCAACAATCCTGTTTGCCAATGCTTGAGGGGGTATGAACCCAAGAATTTTAAGGAATGGAATGTGTCTGATTGGAACAGTGGCTGCGCTCGAAGGGTGCCTTTGGACTGTGATGGTGGTGATGGATTTAGAAAGTATACTGGCATCAAGTTGCCAGACACTTCTTCTTCATGGCATAACAAGACCGTAGGCCTTGAAGAATGTCAGAGATTATGTCTGCAAAACTGTTCTTGTACAGCATATTCAAATTTGGATATTCGAGGTGAAGGAAGTGGCTGCTTAATATGGTTTGATCAACTATTGGACATGAGACAATTTCCTGAAGGGGGACAAGACCTCTATGTACGAATTCCTGGTTCAGAGCTAGGTACTTTCATTGTTTGTTCACTTCATATCGTTTTTTCTTCTTCCCCTTCCAGGTATCTGTTGGTTAACTACAAGTTTTCACTTGTATGTTGTATCAATACGAAGGTGGGAGGGGTGAGGGAAAAGGGAGGAGCGTGTGTTAAAGGCACCAAGAAAACCAATTTTGCATGTTAACAACATCAGATTCTAATTTGAAGTGGTCTTGTGTCATTGTTTTTCTATTCGTTACGCTGTTTTGTTATTCTAATTTATTTATATTTCTTCATAAATTAGAGAAACTACTACTCTCTAAATGTAAAATTTTTACCACCTTTGAAGCTAGTCACAACTTTGGTAGTAGTTGCCTTTAATTGAGATGTTTTACTCAAGGTTGATGATCCCTCACATTGTCAGATCATTTTGGGAACCAAGGCCATGGGAGCATGGGCAAGAAGGAGATAGTGGTAATTGTAGTTGGCTGTGCAATATTTGTAACGAGTTTCATGATTTTTGGATTGATTTTAATTGCAAGGAAAAGGAAACTTCGAAAGTCAGGTAAATTTTATCATGCTTTTCTTTTAACATGAATATATATATTTTGTCACGGTTCTGAAATTCTGGATATTGTCACGTTCAACAACAATAATCTAGGGATGGAAATCATGGATATTCCAACATATAACCTGTCAGTCATTGCTAAGGCTAATGATAATTTCTCCACCATTAACAAATTGGGAGAAGGTGGCTTTGGGCCAGTATACAAGGTACTATAACCATATCAAAACAATGATTTTCTGTTATCTCTTTAAGAGTAACAAGAACTCTTAATTATGATTTTCAGGGTACACTAGATGGGCAAGAGTTAGCTGTGAAAAGGCTGTCAACGAAATCTGGTCAAGGGTTGGAGGAGTTGAAAAATGAAGTTGTGTTGATAGCAAAACTTCAGCACCGTAATCTTGTGAAGCTTCTTGGTTGCTGCATTGAAGGAGAAAGAAAAGTTGTTGATTTATGAATATATGCCAAACAAGAGCTTGGACCACTTTATTTTTGGTTTGAAACTCTGAGCCTTTGCCAAATTCCCAAGTTGTTGAGACTGCAACTAGCATTCTAACATGTTTTTAATGTCCAGATGAAACTCGAAGCAACTTGCTGGATTGGCTTAAGCGTTGGCATATTATTCATGGCATTGCTCGAGGACTTATTTATCTTCATATAGATCTCGATTGAGAATTATTCATAGAGATCTTAAAACAAGCAATATTCTACTAGATACTTATATGAATATAAAGATATCAGATTTTGGCTTGGCTCGCACATTTTGGGATGATCAAGTTGAGGCCAACACCAACAAAGTTGTTGGGAACATAGTAAGTTGTTTTGTCTCCTACATATTTATCACTTCCTTTGGGACTTCAGTTTTCCACTTATTTGAAATCAGAATTATATACTTTCAGTGGATACATGCCTCCTGAGTATGCTGTACATGGACAATTTTCAATGAAATCCAATGTCTTCAGCTTTGGTGTAATAGTGTTAGAGATTGTTAGTGGGAAGAAGAATAGAGGATTTTCAAACCCAGAGGACTACCTTAATCTTCTTGGACATGTAAGCATACTACCTAATTAAAAGAACTTTTTCAGATAGTTGGCTATGAAAGGATTAAAGAGGAACTCATCAAAATGAGTGAATGAATGGATCTCAGCACCTGAATCACCCATGTTCGTTCAGCATTCATTTACATTTTGTATAGCCTACTGAATCGCTGATATCTCAGACTTCTAATGATTTCTCAGTAGCTTAGTAGTCAAAGCAGAAAGTTTCCTGCTCATTATTTTGATCACTGTACGATTCTTTGCACTAGCTGGTTGTGTTAGGCTTCA